TTTTAATTGTATAAAAAAAAAACTTTTTTACCTTTTTCTAAAGCGCTAAGAGAAAGAAAGAAAGATACTGAAAGAAAGATGTGCTAAATTTTAAATAATTGTTTGAATATAGTATTAATATAACATTCATTTATGGAAAATAAATATTTGCTAAATAAAAAATAATAATAGTTAAATCAAATTAATTGTATATGTTTACATTTAATCAGTTAACATGCATGTTGCATAAGATATCTAAAAGACGTCTTTTATGCCTGTATTCATAGTCCGTTCTTAGATCGTCTTTTAAGTTTAAGATGCTAATACGGCTCTCCGATTGGTTTGTGATATCTTAAGACTGTAATTAAGACGGTCTTAAATATAAGAATCGACTATTAATACCGCCCTTAGGTAGGTCCAGTTCCACAACTCATGGTTAACTCTTAACTGAGGTTCAATTTGTTTCTCATCTCTTTTCAATTCTAGAATTAGAAAGAGACAATAAATAAGTTGAACCTCGGTTAAGAGTTAACCGTGAGTTGTGGAACTACTTAGACATCTTTTAGACATAAGACATCTAAAAGACATCTTTTAGATACCTTATGCAACATAAATATTATTTGGATAGTGAATATTTGGTTCTTCAAACAAATATTTAAAAACTTAGTACATTTTTTCTCAGTGTACTACAAAACTATTAGTGATTAATTAAAAAAAAGTCTAGAAAATTACAATTTTTACATTATCAAGTATAAGGTTAAATCTAAATCACAATTTAACCAAATGATGAAAAACCAGGTTAAATGTCTTATTATAGAATGATACGCGGGAGGTGCATAAAATACTTCTATTTTGCTTAACGTTGCGTCGCACGAATGATGCAAAACTACATTCGAATAATTTATTAAAGACCTTTATTATTATTTGTTAAATGTGTACATTCGTCAGCGATTGGATTAACATACCGAGACGCGATTGCGGGAGAATCACGCGCGAGATTCTCCAGAAGGATCACGGTCGGCAACCTAATATTTGCGCTTCAACCGAAATAACGTGTTTCGGATCCATCGCGAATATAGGTCCCGCTTCCGTGCCAAACGCGTCGTGTATTCATAATCCGGGCATCTCGTCAGTGCCCGCGAATCCCTCTAAACGGAAGCCGCGATTATTTCTGAAATGTGGAGGCGTACCTTCAGAAGCTTCACTGTTTACTACTGACTACCAACTGGCATAAGCTTACAAGGAAAAGTAACGCATCCGTTCAAACTAGGGTTACCAGAAGTACTCTCTTAAGAGTACAAGTTACTCTCTTTAAGGTCGTGAAACTTCTGGTCGTTCATTAAAATTGTATATTTATAAAATTATATTGATAAAATTTGTCAATAAAAATGATTTCTACCTGGAAGTTATATATTAGCAAATACTGCATTAAAGAATATATTGATGAGCAATTTTCCGTTTCTCTGACTTAACACTCATCGACTAAGTAACAAAACCGTCGCTTTCTTATCATGGAATATCAATTTTTACTTATAAATTTCTTTGTATATCTGAAGAGGACCTAAACGTAAGATCGAAACATGTAATTGTATTTTGTAATGTTTTTATTTTTCTTATTTTCTCTGCTATTGGTTTGTATATCTTTTTTAATTATAATTTTATGAAAAGAACAATGGAGACTCATTACGTTTTTTTATTCTTATTAGCCTTGTATATCACGTTGTCGTAGGTATTTCGAATATTAAGAATCCTGTTAATTTACGATTTTAAAGAATATACTCTTCTTTTGTGCTCCCGGATTATCACTTTTTTTGAAAAAGTATACATATTTACTCTTTTCTTGCGATTCAGATATGATAACCCAAGTCACGACGAAATTGTAGTTACTGTTGATGCGAAAGCAATCGAACTTCGCTGCTTTCGTAAATGTTTATTTTAATTATTGCAAACAAAGTTTGTTTTGTTAAAAAATCTGGTCAAGCACAATTTGTTCATTGAAATTCGTCACTGAAGCTAAATAATTTACTTTAGTGTATTTGTTATGACAAAATCAGCAAACCGAATAAATTGCCACATAAACTAAAAAAGTGACGAAAAATCAAATATTAGGACTTAATTATTGAAATGTCAAAAAATTAAAAATGCCGTTTTTACGTAAGAAATACAATATTAATCAATTATTGTGCAACATTCTGCAGCACGGAGACAGCAGAGAACAGAAAACAAAACAAAAATAAAAAATAAAGAAAACAAAAAATATAGAAATAGAACAAATTTTAATATTAATATGAAAAATAGAAACGGTCAATAATGACCGTTCGGTATTTCTAGTGTTAAGTTAGGACTCATCTGTGCGTTTTGAGACAGGTAGATATTCGGTAGAGAGAAAGAGAGGAAAGGATACACAAGGCAAAGAAGCGGAGTTTGGACGAGGGTCGAATTCGGAGGCTCACAGAACGCGATCGAGAGCCGGAATCTCGACGGGGTCTCGTATCCGGAGGGGAAAAAAAAAGAGAGAAAGAAAGAGAAAGAGAATAAACTCAATTAATCATATATTCTGATTCGTAATTATATATCATAATATATAATTCGTGTCTCCTCCACAAACGTGCTGTTGTTCTGGAAGCTTTCACTCGGGCTGGAGCCTCCGCGAGAGCGGGCAGCAGCAACGGTGGTGTGTGCGTGCGTGCGTGTATGTGCACGCGCGCGTCTCTTCCTGTGTACCTGACGCCGCACCGATCGACATCGGTTGTGTCTCATCGGTTGAAGTAGCACTTCTCGTTTACACACGTATACATATGCAGATAGATTTCCGGTGACCGTGACGGAAGAATTGATTAATGTCGCAATACATATATCTCCCTACCTATGAAAAAGAGGAAAAAAAAGAGAAAGAGAGGGATATAGGTCGCACCTTCCCCGGATCATTTCGATGGTGGAAAGCCACGTAACTTTCATTAGCCATAATAGTACATGAATCGAGGTAACGGGTAAGAAAGGGAGAGGTAGAGAGAGAGAGAGAGAGAGAGAGAGAGAGAGAGAGAGAGAGAGAGAGAGAGAGAGAGAAAGGATACATATCACAATTTAGAGAAATTTATGCGAGTCCAAGATTTTTAATTTGTCCCTATTAGTGCTCTGTATTGGAACTGAGAACGTTGTGTTATGAATGTACATTGAAATTGTAATTAAAATAACGATTTATTTTAGCTTACTAAATCTATTATCTCTGTCTTAGTAATTATGTATTAAAATGAATCAAATGCAGATGAGCATATAAATTGGGGGCATATTAATAAAGCCCTTGGAGAGACACACTAATAGGGATGAAACATTTTTTTTATTTTCATGAAAACATTAACATTTTTAGATTAAAAAAATAGTTGAAAATACCCGATATTGATTTCAAGCAGACAAAATTAAAGCTACACTATTTAATAATTAATTCAACAAGTAACAAGTAAATTTTGGCTCAAAGGCACTCTAATAGGAAATTATCCTACAAATATGGAAAAAAATTCGAAATTTAGATGCGAAAACATTTTAAACAGAGTCCGAGGAATATTTCCTGAACGATTTCAATCAGGCACCGATTAGTTTTTGATACCATCAAAAGTAATACCTGCGACGCGATTGTCAGAATTGCGATCGTGGATGTGCACTTCCTCCATGGGTTTTGCATGTATCTTGAGTTACTCGACGTGCTTTGATCGCGACGGAGGATTATTCGCTCGGGTGAAAATAGAGCGCGCGAACAACATCTTGCGTCAGGCCGAATCTATAATTAGATTCGCGGCCGAGAGAAAAATTGTAAAATACGAGCTCGCTGCATGAATCTCGAGGGTCACATGCGCGCTTTTATGTAGATCCACGAGAATTTACGTTCGCGGTACGGAAATTCGGAAGAATTTTTATTATTATTTTTCGCGTTTTATCGGCCTTTCCTTTTCTCAATATAAATTCGTCATAAGATCGAGGTTTAGCGCGGACGTGCGCGAGTTTGCGGAACGGATGTTCGTAGCGGGGGATACTTGTATAGACACGAGTATTGTCTCTTGGTCAATAACGCGCGATTAGCAAAGAATTCCAAAACAATATATACTATCGAGATATCGGAAAATTCCGCGAAACCTCTCTCAAGGCTTTCAATTTTATTTATACTCGCTTTGTTATAAAAGATTTCCCCACGTAAACACAGGGCGTCAATCCAGAAATTGTCTGACATTAATAGATTGCCTGCTCCCAAGGAATACATATTTCCGTTGTGCGAATGAGAAATCAAGGGATGGTAACGCGGTACGATGCGAAGGTTTATGCAACGCGTCGATCCGGTCGTATAAACCGTGATAAATTGTCATTGTCGCAACAGATTTAGACCAGTACTCACAGTCAGTTCTTATATTATACGTTTGAGACGGTCTTGAGTACCGACGAATTTAATTATGGAGTACAATTGTGTTACTCTATAATTATAAAACAAACAACAAAATGAAAACTGATTACGGAAGTTATACAAATATATAAAATATTTGCATAATTACACAACCTATATGCCAATGCTATTGACTGATTAATAATTAAGATCAATTTTTTTATTATAAAAAAATTAAGATACTTATGTGTATAATGTTTTACATATATACCATATATGGTAATATACATTAAAATATTGTATATTATAATACACAATATTATAATATATATTATATATATTATATTATGTAACATATCCCTACCCAGGTAGCAAGCTGCGTCATTTTGACGTCAAATGACGTCATTTTGACGTCAAATGACGTCATTTTGACGTCAGCTTGCTACCAGGGTAATAACACAGGGACGTCTATTCAGGATAATCCTGAGGAAGTCTTGTGCTGTTAGGGATTTTATATATATTATATATGTATATAGTATATAAAACACGTATGTTTATGCTTATATATCCATTTACTAATAATAACATAAAATTCATAATTTTTTTCTTTTATAATTTTAAGACAAAGTATATTTTAACATAGTTTGTGCTACATCGTCCATCTTAAATTTTTTTTTCTTTTTGTTGTATTATATTTTTCCTTAACGTGTAACTGAAACATGATGTATAAATGCAAACAATTATCAATTACATTATCACTAATTAATCGTAGAAACTATGCTTAATTTACATATTAAGAAAGGGCTCGGCACAAGATACATTTTTCGGCTGATTTTCAGCTACATTCACGTCCCTTACCTCACTAATCCCCCCACATCAGGCTGAAAATCGATCGAAAAATGCATCGCGTGCCGAATTCTGCAATAAGAGAATCTATATAATACAATTATTGTCCAAAGGAAATACAATTAATTGCCATATCTCAACTATAAAGGGGTCCCCACATAGAACTCTTAAAATCATAAATAATATATTATTAAATGAAATACATCGGCGAGTCTGGCATGTTTATTTTAAAATTTCTCTGTTCCCTTTCTAAATCAGCCAAATTAAAGTTTGGATTTCTGCAAATAGAAACAATGTCTTATAAAACGTAATCGTAAATAATATTCAATAATGTAATTGATCACTTACCCTTGTAACAAGGCTCTTCCGCGAAAAGCTGCTAAATGAGCATAATACGTTGGTGCCGGATAGCTTACCGATCTTGTACAGCGGGCATACATATGGCAAAGAAAATAAGTCATTTCCTCAAGCTGATCTTCGTTAAATTTAGAATCGTTGCATATGCATCTGTATTTTGTAGGCCTCGCTGTACCCTGCATTTACAGTATAATCAACATTTACGTATCAAATAAATTCTATTTGATTGAAGAAACATGCGTTTGTATAGTTTGCAAATTTAATTATTTAATACATATATACTTTGAAGTATCTTGAAGTAAATTATTATAATTATTACGAGTTAATTATTCTTAATTGCTATTAATCATTGTATAATTTTTTGTATGTTGGTATTTGTTTATAAACAATGAGACATTTATAATTATACATATAAACATATTAGTATTACAAAAACAAACCGATGATTTTACCTGAATACTCGCATGTGATACGAGATAAAAATCGATATGATCTGGATGTGTAATAGTTGTATCGACAATTGTACCCGCTCTCACATTACCGTTTCTGTCATCTGTTTCATGTTTATTTGCAGGAAAGAGACGCACATGATGTCTCTTCTGAACAACCATGCAGGTAACTTCAATATTACCTTTATTGAATGTTTTAATTGCATTTTTAATAGCGTTTATTTCATAAAACATAACTTGAGGAAGTTGTCCTTCGCTAACTCCGTCTCTAGGTATTGATATAAATATGGAATTATAATGTATACACTAATAAATTTCTTATTTATTCTTAACTGAATATTCATAACCGTTCATGTCTATGTAATAGTTTTTCTCTTTATATATATATATATATATATAAAGAATTTATTTTTAATAATTTATATAATATTGAACATTACTAATACATACCGGTAATAGATGAGTCTCCGCGGTGCAGACTTTGTTTGCTGATAATAGATATTAAGTTGTGATAATATTATTGCTTCAAGATCTAAAATCATTTCTTCTTTAGGTGGTTGAAGTCTGAGTGTAACATTATACTGGAAAGCTGAATTATTTCTACTTGCAGCAACCTAAATTAATGACATTTTTTATCAACACACATATTCACATAAAAGAAAAACTGCGTTTAATAATTATACAAACCGCCGCTATAGATGGTGCACTTTTAGAATCGGGGGCCGGATGAGTTACATCGGCACCAACAAGCATACAAGAAATGTTGCTTAAACATGATGGCCTGAGAGGGGGGAAAAAAACGAAAAAAGAGAAAACGGTTTTATTCGAGACTACAAACATTTTTATAAAACAAAGCATAAATATTATTCACTCACATATTAACCAATATATGATTGATGCCATTTAGTTTTGAATTTATTTTTTGTAGAAGATTTTTTATTGTAGCATTTTTACATGCTTTCGCATTTGTACTTTTTATACACTGTGTCAAAACACCTATGTCCATTTCGGTGATTTTTTTTACGTTCCCTGAAATAACGATAAGTATCATTAGATTGATTTATATTCAGAATAAGAAAGCATAATGAAAAGAACCACATGTACGCACCATATGTTACGTTTGTAGAACTTGGTATGACAACTATTATCAATTGTAAATGTTTATATTGATTGAAGTAATTTGTGATACCACTTAAATCGTTTGTATTGAACTTTTTAAATGGAATTTTAGCGGTTCCAATGCTCATACCAACGAATCTTGCTAAAAAAATGGATTTAATATAATAACAAAATGTAATATGGACACAACTATATAACATAATTCAAAATAATAAAGAATTGGAAAGAATACAGGCGTTAGGAGTCAAGCGCAGAAGACATCGCGCAAATAGTACACTTATGAAGCTTGAAACATCTTTTTTCAACAAACGCGATTACATATTTCGGCTCATTTTTTAGCCTTCATCTCAGAGCAAACACAAACAGGATGACAGTGAGTCGCTTTGTAGTTATTAGCTAGTATTAATGAAAATTGTAAAGTGATAAAAATCTGATTACAATTTTCATTAATACTAGTTAATAACTACAAAGTGACTCATTGTGTTTGATACCGACTGGCTAACATATCAGGAACTGGTTTTTGAATTGTTCATGGTAATGTTTGCGATACCCCTCACAGTACACCAACATTGAAATAAGGTTACAGTAACTTTAAATTGTATGATTGTAACATTAAACGGAGATTAATAAACCTACCATTAACCTCCTAGTAACATATAATCGTCCAAACTGATTACATTAACATCCCTGAAACCTTGCATGATAGGTTGTATTAATATTCCTACAATGTGCCCAGGAAAAAAACCTTGTAAGATTGTAACATTAAACGGAAATTAATAAACTTATCTTATTGCAAAAATGAGTATTATTATTGATTAATATCTTATTCCAGAATACATATCATAAAATTATGATTAAAAAAAAAATTTTTCCCTGAATTCGGGAACTAATTTCCTAGTACTTCGAAGCGGTCATCCATCCGATTGTAGCCCACTATTTACTATCCTTGGACTTCTGAAATCGTCTGGAAACCGCTGCACTTCAATGATCCACGAACATCTGTATAATCATGGGTGTATAGCTATGATACATCTCTTCAATTATACGCTTGCTGAGCAATCGAATATGATTGGTTGGATCTATAAGTAATAACCAATTATGTTCATTTGCTCGGCGAGCAGGTTAGCCGCTTTGTCAACTTGAACGTGCCCATTGACATAGGATTCCATTAGCCTTCAAACAATATTAAGATATAAGGTTCATACAAGGTTGCTGTAATATAACCTTTCCACAAAACTATGTAAGATTGTAACCATTCTATAACCTTAATGTAATATCCGGTGCTGTGAGGGACGGTGCTTTGTAATCGTGGTGAGCGCTCTTATTTTCGGGATAATTAATTATATATATTCTTAAAGTTTTTTTGATAAATTAGTTTCTATATTCTTTAATTCGGCATTTTTTATATTTCCCTTCTTTTACATTTTCTTTTCTTTCTTTTTGTTTAATTCTGACGTTTAAATTCTCGATGTAGGGGAGCTGACCATGACAGCTGATAACTTTTACTTTATATATGTTAGTTTGTGTTCGCTCTGAGATGAAGGTTAAAAAATGAGTTGAAACATGCAAGCGCATTTGTTGAAAAAGAAGTTTCAAGTTTCATAAGTGTATTATTTGCGCGACGTCTTCTGCGCTTGACACCTAACGCCCGTATTCTTTTCAATTTTTTGATTTATAAGGAATCTCGGTTAGTTTGATTTGTTATATGGATTCAAAATAGTAATTTTTTTGTTAACGTCTAAATTTACAATTGCAAATTATGCATAATTTTTTTTATGAACAATTAAATATATTATAAATTTTAGAAACTTTTAAAAAATATGATATTATATACACATACAATGTACACACAATAATATAGAATACATTTTAAAATTATAACTTTATTTTTCATATACTTAACCATTTGTTTGTAATGCCTTTGCAAATTCATTTATATCATCATCACTTATATCATCAGCTAATATAAGAATAGTCCATAAGTTAGATTTCAAACTTTTGGCTTCAATAAACTGTTGTAAACGCCATACTCCTCTTTCTACTGTCATCGTTGCGTTAGCATATTTTAATCCAGGAGGAGGCAAAATTCTGGCATCAACCTTTTGCATTTTTGTACTCACAGATAGATTGAACTCATTTTTCATGACAGAACTACTATTTATTTCCAGCATCCTGAACTACAGGCATATAACACAATAAACATAACGATATAATATGATAAATATCTAATAATGTAAATGTCTTTTACCGCTTCTTCTATGTTCTGTTTACGGATAGGCGCAGCGTTTGCTGCTTTTTTAATCATATTTGTGGTTTGATTTTCATCTAGTTTTTTATTAACGGCCTGGCCACTCACAATGGTGCATAACTATGAGTGTTCATAGAAATTTTTATTTATTTTACAATATCACTTGTAGCAAATATAAAACAGCTTACGTACTTCGAGAGGCACCAAGACTTTGTCTCCGTTGGAAGTCTTGCCCACATGAAGAGTAGGCAAGTCAGGCCTCCTTATGTTATATCTCTTTATGTCCCGAAAATATTTTGTTATTGTGTAAGTTACATCGGATGATGTAAACGTATGCGAGTCACAACTATCAGACCATAAATCGAGTACACGGTACGTACGTTTCGAAATTGGTGAGTTAGGTATTGCGTAAGTCACTTTTAAACCTTTTAAAAAACCTAGTATCGTGTTTCTCTTCGAGAATACATCGTTATAAGAAAGGCTTTCTTCCCTGATTCTTGTAATATAAGCTATGTATTCAAGTACCCTTGAATTCATAGTAAATCCTTTATAAGCAACTAAATAAAATATAAGAAATAATATATAGAGATTATAGGATAAATATATTTATTGTAGTTTTTGGCTTAAAATTATTAAACGCTTTAGAAAAATATTGTTTATAATTGAAATGATAAAAAATCATATCGATTAACATGGATATCTTACCATCTACATTTAGATATGGTTGCCACCCAAGTACACCAGAGAGAAATCCACCGTGGGCTAGCGTTAAGCCACCACCTAGTTCCTCGATCCTATCTATATTCCAGTAGAGTGATCTTCCAACCTACAGAAACATAATTTATATCACGCATTTTATATATATTTATACTACATTAACATTAATTTCCTCTAATTAAATTATAACATTTTATAAAGTATATAAATAAATATATATTTTGAAAAATTTAGTTTCTGTCCTCAAATTAATATGCGAAATTAATTTATTTAAATAATTTTAAATAAATGCGATTTATTAAAACAAATCAATGTTATTTATAATTAAACTTAATAAAACTTAATAAAACTTATTAATAGTGCTAGCTAATTTTAATTATTTTAATATTACTAGAGAAGCAAATGGTATTATGGCTCCTCACTTACATATTACGCAATAACTTGATTAACAAACAATATTAAACCTAAAATTTAATGATTACATTCATCCAAGTACTGCTCAATTGATTCTAGACTCAAAGTATACTCTTTTCAATTACAAATATCATCTTTTTATTAATCGCTTACATTAATAAACCGCGATTCTGGTGCATGACGCATGATTACATCCAAGACTTGTAAAGCGGTTTGATCTCTATTTCCTGCAAGACCAGGTCTTAAATTTTTTATCCAGCTAAGATCAATATAAGCCACTTTCCTCATGATAATTTCATATTGTTTCCTTTGTCCCCTATTATTTTCGAACCAGAAAACATCCTGCATCTACATAGAATGAAAAAAATTAAATTGTGTAAAAAACTCTTCTCTTTGATTTGTTCGAAAAATATTTGAATCAAACAATATTATAAAATTTGTTCCATATGTGATAAATTGTGTTACAATTAACATGTATATTACTTACATAATCGGGGAAAGGAAGCTCATTTGCGCTATATGCATTTTTGTTCCCATCATAAGCTGGAAATCTCATGTCAAAATGTTTATTTCTACATTGTTCAAAAATATTTCTACATAAAATCTTAGGAAGTCTGGTTTCTTTCTTGGTTTCTGTTTTGCTGGGCTTTTCATCGAAAGGACGAATATTAATATCATAATGAACTGCATTGGTTACAAACTTATCGCTGAATATAATTTGGTACATATTCGTAAACACAGAAATGTTGTTCCCTATTTTCCCACCACATAGAGGATTTTTTCTCTTTGGTATCATGTCATGATATGCTTTCAATTGTGCAGATGACATTTTTGCCTTTTCATTCTTTTCTTTATGGAATGGATCTGTCAATGCCAGCTCAGATATCTGAAAAAAAAAATTATTTAACTAAATAAATTCAAAATGCAACATATATTCGTAAGATATTTGTAATAGATAATTTATTACACACGCGTGTATAATTATATTTAAAAATAACATATGTATTTTATGTATATATGTACATAACTACTAAGTATAAGCATATTCAAGCCTATAACGGTCGAAGCTAAATCTTCTCAATGCCGAAATAATTCACAGTGAATTATCTATATATCTTATATATGTACATGCATATATACCATATTTTTGAAGTTATTCAAACTGCGCGCCAAAATTTTTCGGACTTTATCAAACACTATTAAACTACTGCAATAATATCACAAGGTAAATTAAATTGACAAGCAAATTCTCAATCTTCGATCCAATCGGCTTCAATATGCTTATACATAGTATTTAATTTCATGTCGAACTTAATAAAATCTTATTATTGTATATATATATATATATATATATATATAACATAATATGTAATCATACATCAAGAGATGTAGTACTTGTTGATGGCTGCTGTTGATACACATCACCACCAATTGCCTGTACTTGTCGATGATCATCAGCAGCACCAATATCAACTATAAAAAATAAAAATGTGTATATCTATATACACGAAACTGTAATAAAATCGGTAGATAGATCTTTGTAAACATACAACTTTTATTTGAAACAGTTTTTTATAAAACTTATATTTTTTTTAGATACTTCGGGATTCCTGTATTTTTTTCTCACCCTGTAGATGTGTGAGTGTGTATGTGTGTGTGTGTGTGCGCGCGCGCGCGCGCGTGTGTGTACACATATACATATATGTATGCATACGCACATATATGTCTAGTGCCCCATTTTAAGAAAAATAACTAAAAATTTGAAGGAAAAACTTATATAAAAATAATATGTAAAAATTATACAAAACATGTTTAATTTGAGACAGTTTTTGGACAATATTTTCATTTTAGAAATTCGTTTAAAAAAATGAACATAATTCTTTTTTCAAATAAAACTAATTATATATTATGATTCAATTTTCCTAATCATTTTACATAAAAAAATCATTAAAATGAGATAAATAAAAAATAAATATCTCATTGGATATTTTGTATTTAATTCTGGTATATTACTTAAATGTGAATATAAACTATCTTATATGTTTATATAAAGTATTTGTTTTTCAATAACTTTGTCAAAGTATTTTTGTACATGAGATAAAAAAAATTAATTATTCGTTTTGTTATGAATACAAATACATTAATACATGAATAAGAGAGCAATTCTACTTTTTAAAAAATTATATAGCTATGAACTTTTTTACATAAATTTTTTTATATAAAACATTTAAAAATATGCTAAATTTAGTAATTGTTGCTGTTTCTGATTATATTGCTACTAGACAATATTTACTTGAAGCTTTTTGCTCCTGTTGAGGTAAAGTTGGTGCTCTGTGTTGCTGCTGTTGTTCCCAAGCTGTTTGTTGTGGGCTCCATACTGGTTGTTGCTGTTGTTGTCGTGGTTGGCTCTGAGGTACTTGTTGTCGTGGGCGGCCCCATACTCCTTGTGGTTGTTGTTGTGGTTGGACTCCTGCTTCTTGTGGTTGTAGCTGCCTCCATGCTTTTTGTGGTTGTTGTTGTTGTGGCTGGCTCTGTGCTCCTTGTGGTTGTTGTGATTGGCTTCGTGCTCCTTGTGGTTGTTGTTGTGGCTGCCTCCATGCTACTTGTGGTTGTTGTTGTTGTGGCTGGATCCGTGCTCCTTGTGGTTGGCTTTGTGCTCCTTGTGGTTGTTGTTGTGGCTGCCTCCATGCTACTTGTGGCTGTTGTTGTTGTTGTGGCTGGCTCTGTGCTCCTTGTGGTTGTTGTAGTTGGCACCGTTCTCCTTGTGGTTGTTGTTGTGACTGACCCCATGCTTCTTGTGGTCCTTGTTGTGGCTGACCAGATGCTGCTTGTGGTAGTTGCTGCAGTAGGCTCTGTGGTGTTTGTTGTAGTGGGCGGCTCCATGCTCCTTGTAGTTGTTGTGGCTGGCTTTGTGGTATTTGTTGTCGTGGGCGGTCCCATGCTCTTTGTTGTTGTTGTTTTTGTTGTGGTGGTGGCGGGGGCGGTGGATTCTTGTTGTTGCTGACCTTGTGCCTGCTTCTGCAAACTCTTAGTTATTTTCTGTTGCTGTGGATCTGGAATTACTTGTTGCTGCTTTGGATCTTTGAGTATCTTTTGTTGTTTTGATGAACCGTCAGAAGTCTGTTTTGAAGTTGACGCAGCTGCTTCCTGCTGCTTTCCTATAATTTATATTATTCTTTATTAAATATATATCTCTTAGGTCCGATTGCACCAACTTCAACTTTGAGCGAGATTTAAAACTCTCTCTATCTCTCCCTCTCTTTCAACTTTAAAGAGAGAAAGTGAGAGTTTTAAGCCTTGCTTGAAGTCAAAGTAATGTTGGTGCAGTAAGGTCGGGCTTTAAAGAATAGATACAAAGTTTTAAAAAATTGTAATATGTACATCCCATTTACATACTTGAAGCTTTCAGCTAATTTAATTTCGCAGAGCTGTCCTGGGTACCCATCATGGAATATGTCGGAATTAATTCCGATCGTAATTATTCCATAGAAAACACAATAGAAATCTAGGAAATAATTGCATAATTCCGATCGGAATCCATTCCGACTTGTTCCATGATAAGTTCCCAGACTGGGTACATTTGGCCAAAGAAAATTAGATAGAGCGGAAGCCGAAAAATTCGCGTATATCGTGACAGTCATCTGTCGAGTCCGACGCACAATTACATTTCTAATTTCATTTTTATTTTATGTGGACAGAATATTAATTGTAATAAAGTATTCGTAGCATTCAGCTTTAGTGTATAGGCTTTAGTGTATAGCTTTAGTGTATGAAAATGAAGAATACCGTGTTTGAATCTCGTTTGCCTTCGTTACTAATATTTTTAAAAACAGCATCAGACTCACAAGATAACACTAATAACACTAGATGGAAAATATATTCCAATCTCATAAGAAAACTTTCCATACTATCTAATCCTGTTTGTTTATGATTTTTTAAATTAAAATATGTCGATATTCATTCCTATCACATTTCTACTCCTACTTCATTGCTGTTTTAACGTAGTGTGCAACATTCGGTCTCAATGAGCAACATTAGTCTAAAATTGTTAACAGTTTTTGACCTATGTCATTTATTATGTTTAAAAATATTCTGCTACAAATAATATAAGATAATATTATTCATAATATATTTAACTAATATATAAAAATATATAACTTTATACATATTTCATATCTTATGATATTAGTAACGGAATACTTTTAAACATAATGAATGACACATCTCAAAAACTCTTAACAATTTCAGGCTGGTGTCGTCTCTGAGAACAAGAGTCGCGTGTTACGATAAAACAGCAATGAAATAAGGAGTAAGAACGGTAATAGACATGAATATCGATACATATTAATTTCAAGTCAAAAGTATCAGATCCTGCCTCTGCATTCAGTAACTCTTTGTACAGTCGTTATAACAATAGTTGCACAGCTTTTTACTGTATAAAATATCTACGCAAATGTCACTATGAGCACATAACAATTGCATAACGAGTTACAGAATACAGAGACTGGACAGCTCAGGATAACGATCATGTAATTTTTTGTCTGAGGGAGAAACGTGAAAAGTGAAATTTTTTTGTATGCACGTGTATATGTACATACATATACAAAAAATTTTTACTCTTCACCTATCTGCTTTACAGAAAAAGTTACAGAATCGCAACCCTGATTTAATTAATTACTTTTAAATAAATAAATACGCAAGTCCTTGTAGCTACATTATGTTATACTTTCTGCACTTATGAAATAGGTTTATTAAAATAGGAATATTAGAGGAAAAAAAGTAAAGAAAAATTATATAAAAAGTTCAGGTTACAGAAAACCTAATGCCATCTTAATTTGTTGACATTTCAGACCTGCGGTTGTCTTTTGTTGCGTCGAACTAGGTAATGCTTCTGAAGGTTGTTTCCCTTCCTCTTGTTGCTGCAAGGATTGTTGTTGCGAAGTCTGTTCTTGCAAAATCTCTTTTGAGGTTGACGCAGCTGTTGTCTGCTTCTTCTTCTTATATTTAATATATATCTCTTAAATAGGTACAAATCAAGTTTTAGAAGATCATAATATACCTACACATAACATTTACATACTTGAAGCTTTTAGAGAGCTAATTTTATTATACAATTGCTTTTAATAAATACATATATAAGTCCTTGTAGCTACATTATGTTATACTTTCTGTACAATAAAATAGGTTTATTAAAATAGGAATATTAGAGGAAAAAAAAAAAAGAAAAATTATATAAAAAGTTCAGGTACAGAAAGCCTAATGCCATCTTAATTTGTTGATATTTCAGACCTATGGTTGTCTTTTGTTGCGTCGAACTAGGTAATGCTTCTGAAGGTTGTTTCTCTTCCTCTTGTTGCTGCAAGGATTGTTGTTGGGAAGTCTGTTCTTGCGAAGTCTGTTCTTGCGAAGTCTCTTTTGAGGTTGACGCAGCTGTTGTCTGCTTCTTCTTCTTTCCTACAATTTGTATTATTCTTTTAATATATATCTCTTAAATAGGTACAAATCAAGTTTTAGAAGATCATAATATACCTATAATAACATTTACATACTTGAAGCTTTTAGCTAATTTTATTATATAATTGCTTCTAATAAATACATATATAAGTCCTTGTAGCTACATTATGCTATACTTTCTGTACAATAAAATAGGTTTATTAAAATAGGAATATTAGAGGAAAAAAAAAAGTAAAGAAAAATTATATAAAATGTTCAGGTACAGAAAACCTAATGCCATCTTAACTTGTTGACATTTCAGACCTGTGGTTGTCTCTTGTTGCGTCGAACTAGGTAATGCTTCTGAAGGTTGTTTCCCTTCCTCTTGTTGCTGCAAGGATTGTTGTTGCGAAGTCTGTTCTTGCAAAGTCTCTTTTGAGGTTGACGCAGCTGTTGTCTGCTTCTTCTTCTTTCCTACAATTTGTATTATTCTTTATTTAATATATATCTCTTAAATAGGTATAAATCAAGTTTTAGAAGATCATAATATACCAAACATAACGTTTACATACTTGAAGCTTTTAGAGCTAATTTTATTATATAATTGCTTCTAATAAATACATATATAAGTCCTTGTAGCTACATTATGCTATACTTTCTGTACAATAAAATAGGTTTATTAAAATAGGAATATTAGAGGAAAAAAAAAAGTAAAGAAAAATTATATAAAATGTTCAGGTACAGAAAACCTAATGCCATCTTAACTTGTTGACATTTCAGACCTGTGGTTGTCTCTTGTTGCGTCGAACTAGGTAATGCTTCTGAAGGTTGTTTCCCTTCCTCTTGTTGCTGCAAGGATTGTTGTTGCGAAGTCTGTTCTTGCGAAGTCTTTTTTGAGGTTGACGCAGCTGTTGTCTTCTTCTTCTTCTTCTTTCCTACAATTTATATTATTCTTCATTAAATATATATCTCTTAAACAGGTACAAACCAAGTTTTAGAAGATTGTAATATACCTACACATAACATTTACATACTTAAGTATGTAAATAATAGAGAAAATAATGAAAATAATAGAGAAAATTTGTATCAGGCAAGTAATCTAAAATTTAAGATTAAAAATGATACTTAAGGTATATGATAAACATACAGTGTTTATAAGAATCTATGTAACTTAATCCATGGAAATGTCTCTATAACTATCACATGCTAAAGTATCCAGACAAGCTTGCGATTATAGGTGTTAAACTTAATTCCTGCCGTTTTTCGTCTCCAAAATTGATTTGTTTCGGAGGGAAATACCTTAATCAAAGTATTATTAATTAGTAATAAAGTAGAAAATGGAGGAAATTGCTTTGATTAAGGTATTCATTCATCTTCCCTTCGAAACAAATCAATTTTGGAGACGAAAAACGGCAGGAATTAAGTTTAACACCTAATAGCTCAGCGTTAGAGTGCTGGACTATCACCCCGTAAAGTCTTACATTCGAATCCCATCGATTCCGATATGCATTTTCAAAAATTGTAAATTTTCGATGCATAATTGTAATTAATAAATTGTATGTAAAAATATAAATGAATTTTACAAAAGAATAATAAAAAATAATAACTGTATTTTAATTATTATAAAAAATTTTTTTTTTAAATAATATGAAATTTACTTTTAAAACGCAATACAATATTATTAATTTTGATAAAACATAACCAGATAGAAATCGATTAAAAACGATATAAAAGCTATAGGAATATAGAAAATCTATCAGAAATTTCAGATAAATAATCTGAATTTTACGAACCAAAAACATGATACGATACTATTAATTTTGATAAAACGTAATTATCAGTTATAAATTGATTAGAAACGATGCAAAAGCTATATGACAAATAATGATACAGGAATATAGAAATTTTCTAAATTTCTGTATCGTTTTTGTCATATAGCTTTTGTATCGTTTCTAATCAATTTATAACTGGTTACGTTTTATCGAAATTAATAGTATCGTATCGTGTTTTTGGTTCGTAAAATTCAAGTTATTTATCTGAAATATCTGATAGATTTTCTATATTCCTGCATCGTTTTTGTTATATAGTTTTTATATCGTTTTTAATCAATTTCTTTCTGGTTATGTTTTATCAAAATTAATAATATCCTATCGTATTTCTATTAAAAAATCTATGAGATATTTCAAATAAGTAATCTGAATTTTACGAATCAAAACCCGATAGAGTGGTATTAATTTTGATAAAACATAACCAGATAAAAATTGATTGGAAACGATACAAAAATTATATGACAAAAACGATACAGGAATATAGAAAATCTATCAGATATTTCGGATAAGTAATCTGAATTTTACAAACCAAAACCACGATTCAATTAGAGTTTTATTCTATCTGATTCTATCGGACTTTTTAAGCAGGGCAGCAACAGTAACCGCGTTTTACTTAATACTTAAAAGTTGCAATGTTCATAAGTAATATTTATCTTTGTATATAATATTTAATAAATAACAAGGATAAAATGATGTAGGCACATTGTGAATGCCAAGTGGAACGTAGCCAGTGCGAATATGTTATTATACTTTTAGTATAGTTTGTTTGTATTGTAACAACCTTGAGGTTGTTGTTATAACTTTGGAATACAGAAATTCAATTTTCGTAACGTTTTCGATTTGCTGATCCCGACTCCGAATCAATGATTTCTTCTTTTTACCTATATTTCTTGCATAGTTTAGTTCTTTTTTTGCAGCTAAAAAGACGTATCATCGATTAGAGGTTGAATCGAGTCAACAAATCGAAAACACGATTAGACTGCATATTGTGAGAACTATAATACATAGATTCATTATACAAATTTATTTATTTCTATATGTTGTGATTACTGATTTGTTTTTTGAAATACAAACAAAAGATGCGGATAATGAATTGAATTATTATCATAGAAGTAATCAATTATATATCGATGCATTTTTAGGAAAAATGGAGACACTTGCTCCGAAACGGTCCAATGTAACAACTGGCACGTACCTTTCTTCGTCATTTTGTCTTAATTCAGTACCAGACGAAGCTCCTAAAATATGTTGCGCGACACAATCACTTGCTAGCTCCGCTGGGAAACAGCTACGATGTTCGAATTGTGTTGTCACTAAGCTTCGCTGTCTCGTATCTCGTCAAACGACAGTTTACCCTCGAATGTTCTCGAAACTTTCAAAGCACATATAATAAGCACATATCAGTAAAAGTAACGGAATTCCCCGAACTCTGGATACCTCGGATTTTCTTATAAACACGTAAAATGTCTGATCAACGATTGGGGGAACAACCAATCATGTTCATTTGCTTGGCGAACAGGCTAGCCGTTTTGCTGATTTGAAAGTGAAGTTAATTCGTTAGATTCGTAATAATTCGTATAGGCGTGCATTTCGTTTCACATGCATTATGTGCATATAATGAATCATTTATCCTTGTTCAACATTTGGTAAACAAGGATAAATGATTAATCGTGTGTGAAACGGAATGCATCCTAGATTGCGCGCTCCCATTAAAAATGCAAAATACATAGTTCAAAACATGAATGTAGATATCTATCTTGTAACATTTATTATAAACAATTTTACATATATATGCATTGCTATTCTGTCTGTGTGTATGTGTGTATTATATATACCACACGTACTATCCTAGAACAGCAATGAAAATAATTATTTCAAAAAATTACTTCAAGCATATATAAATAATCAAGATATTATATACAAAATATCTTATACTATACAGGATGTTTCCTATAACTTAACCGTCTAAAATATCTCCGTCATTTTTAATGATATGAGAAAATAAAGAAGAAAATTCGATTCAGGGGCACATATTGTTGTTGAGCAAAAAATTTTTCTCAATGTCATATTTTTTAAATTTTCAAGATTACTTCCACTTTTTAAAATAAAATTGTATGATTTTTTTTTTACACAATATGATTCCTCTAATAATATTCTGAATATAAAAGTATTAAGGTAGTGATATAAAAAAACAATAGTTTACGAGATATTTTATACTTTATTCTGTCACATGTTGACATAAAATATTAAATATCTCGTAAACTATTAATTTTTTTTATAATCGTACTTTATTACTTCTATGAACAGAGTAATGAGATGAATCATATTGTGTAAAAAAAAATAATAAAATTTCACTTAAAAAAGTGAAAATGATCTTGAAATCTTAAAAAATATGACCTTGAGAAAAATTGTTTACTCGTAAAATATATGCCCCTTCGAATCGAATACTTTCTCTTTTGGTAGTTTCTTCTATCATTAAAACCAACGGAGATATTCTAGATTCAAGTTAGAGGTAACACCCTGTATATTAAGTAATTAAGATTATATGTAGTACTTCGTAAATTCCTTAGATTTTCATAAAACGTTTAAGTATGCAGCTTGCACTCTTGTCAATAGAACATAAAATATTCTCGCATATATTCATCACTAGCTTTGCGTAGCTTTCACGCACGCGCGCGCGCGCACTTTCCATATACAAATGTTATAAAATATCTCGCATGAACACAAATTTTTATCGTGTTTGTTTTGGAAACCATTTTTATTTGACTTTTTATTTTACATATACATAATAATTTTTTTAATTCTATATTGATACATAAAAACTCATAATTATAGTCGAATATGGTATTACAACGTTCATAAACAATCAGTATTATTATTATTGTATGTGTAATGTATGCAGAAATATCTAGATAACTTCCTGGTTAATAAAAAATTAGAATTAAGTATTTATGAATTAGAATTGATAAACATCGTTCAGAAAATTGTTTAGTTTATCATATTTGGACGCGAAAACATGTAGTATATACATATGAACATATCCAATCACCATTCATTATAATCCATACATTAATTATCTATTATAATTCATCGCTATCTTTAATTCTTTTTTATGTTTAGTGCTCTAATTAACATAAACAGTTATGTAAGTACGAAACAAGTATTTTTTAGCATCATAGTATTATATATATGTAAATATGTATACTTTACACGGATTTAATTATGGAGTACAATTGTTATTTTATAATTATAAAACAGACAACAAAATGAAAACTCATTACGGAAGTTATATAAATATATAAAATACTTGCATAATTACACAATCTATATGCCAATGCTATTAAATGATTAATAATTAAGACCAATTTTTTGATTATATATAAAAGATTTAAGATACTTATGTGTATATATATATAATATTTTGCATATATAATATACATTATAATATTGTATATTGATGTACAATATTGTAATATATAATATATATTATATTATATATTATATTATATAACGTTATATATATATGTATATACATATATATATTATATAAGAAATGTATGTTTATGCTTATCCATATACTAATAATAACATAAAATTCATCATTTTTTCTTTTATGATGTTTAAGACAAAGTATATTTTAACATAATTTGTCCCACCCCAAACATTTTTTTCTTTTTGTTGTATTATATTTTTTCTCAACGTATAACTGAAATATGATGTATAAATGCAAACAATAATCAATTACATTATCACTAATTAATCGTAGAAATTATGTTTAATTTATGTATTAAGAGACAAGGCTCAGCACACAATACACTTTTCGGCCGATTTTCAGAGTTTCCCGTCCCTTACCTCACTAATCCGCTCACATCAGACTGAAAATCGACCAAAAAGTGCATCGCGTGCCGAACTCTGCAATAAGAAAATCTATTCAATACAATTATTGCCCAAAGGAAATAAAATTAATGTCATATGTCAACTGACATATCTCAACTATAAAGGGGTTCTTACATAGAAACTTTAAAATCATATATCCTTAAACGAAATACATCGGTGATTCTGCCATGTTTATTTTAAAATTTTTCTGTTCCCTTTCTAAATCAGCCAAATTAAAGTTTGGGTTCCTGCAAATGAGAACAATGTCTTATAAAACGTAATCGTAAATAATATTCGATATTATAATTGATCACTTACCCTTGTAACAAGGCTCTTCCGCGAAAAGCTGCTAAATGAGCATAATACGTTGGTGCCGGATAGCTTACCGATCTTGTACAGCGGGCATACATATGGCAAAGAAAATAAGTCATTTCCTCAAGCTGATCTTCGTTAAATTTAGAATCGTTGCATATGCATCTGTATTTTGTAGGCCTCGCTGTACCCTGCATTTACAGTATAATCAACATTTACGTATCAAATAAATTCTATTTGATTGAAGAAACATGCGTTTGTATAGTTTGCAAATTTAATTATTTAATACATATATACTTTGAAGTATCTTGAAGTAAATTATTATAATTATTACGAGTTAATTATTCTTAATTGCTATTAATCATTGTATAATTTTTTGTATGTTGGTATTTGTTTATAAACAATGAGACATTTATAATTATACATATAAACATATTAGTATTACAAAAACAAACCGATGATTTTACCTGAATACTCGCATGTGATACGAGATAAAAATCGATATGATCTGGATGTGTAATAGTTGTATCGACAATTGTACCCGCTCTCACATTACCGTTTCTGTCATCTGTTTCATGTTTATTTGCAGGAAAGAGACGCACATGATGTCTCTTCTGAACAACCATGCAGGTAACTTCAATATTACCTTTATTGAATGTTTTAATTGCATTTTTAATAGCGTTTATTTCATAAAACATAACTTGAGGAAGTTGTCCTTCGCTAACTCCGTCTCTAGGTATTGATATAAATATGGAATTATAATGTATACACTAATAAATTTCTTATTTATTCTTAACTGAATATTCATAACCGTTCATGTCTATGTAATAGTTTTTCTCTTTATTTATATATATATATATAATTAGGTGGTTGAAGTCTGAGTGTAACATTATACTGGAAAGCTGAATTATTTCTACTTGCAGCAACCTAAATTAATGAAATTTTTTATCAACACACATATTCATATAAAAGTAAAGCTGCGTTTAATAATTATACAAACCGCCGCTATAGATGGTACACTTTTAGAATCGGGGGCCGGATGAGTTACATCGGCACCAACAAGTATACAAGGATAGTTGCTTAAACATGATGGCCTAAGAGGGGGAAAAAAACGAAAAAAGAGAAAAAGGTTTTATCCGAGACTACAAACATTTTTATAAAACAAAGCATAAATATTATTCACTCACATATTATCCAATATATGATTGATGCCATTTAGTTTTGAATTTATTTTTTGTAGAAGATTTTTTATTGTAGCGGCATTACATGATCTCACAGTTTTACATTTTATACACTGTGTCAAAACACCTATGTCCATTTCGGTAATTTTTTTTACGTTTCCTGAGATAATGATAAGTATTATTAGATTGATTTATATTTAGAATAAGAAAGTATAATGAAAAGAATCACATGTACTCACCATATGTTACGTCTGTATAATCTGGTATAACAACTATTATCAATTCTAAATGTTTATGTTGAGTGAAGTAATTTGTGATACGCCTTAAATCGTTTGTATCGAATCTTTTAAATGGACTTTCAGGCTTACCAATGTTCATACCAACGGTTCTTGCTACAAAAATTAATATAATAACAAAATGTTATATGAACACAACTATGTAACATAATTCAAAATTGCAATTTTTTGGTTAACATCAAAATTCACAATTGCAAATTATGTGTTGTGCATCATTTTTTTATCAACAATTAGATGTATCATACATTTTGGAAACTTTTAAAAAATTTGATATATATATATATATATACATATACATACATACAGGGTGAATCAGAGTCGTTGAACCAACTTTTTACACTGTGAGAAACTTGTCGACTATATACATAATTGTATTATACGTGTGCAGTCAATTATTCTCTCATAGGGTAAAAAACTGATTCAACGACTCTGATTCATCCTATATATATAGGGTGTCCCGACCTTTTTTGCCAGTCACTTCTGTGTAGATAGAGCGGACTAAACTGAGTCGAAAAGTCCTCTACCATTTTACAATTTTCGCAATAGTTAAACAAGATATTAATTACTAAAAATTGCAAAATATTGGTCTTGAATAATTTTTTACTCAAATACTATCAACTTTACAGAAAAACTGCAAGAGACAAAAATTATTTATTTTCTTCTCATAAAGTTCTGAGAATTTTTTCAGAATATTTTATCGACTTTTTAGTACTGCATTTTCTTATTTTTATCAACATGAAAAAATGCGGTATTAAAAAATTCTGAAAAAATTCTCAGAACTTTATGAGAAGAAAATAAATAATTTTTGTCTCTTGCAGTTTTTCTGTAAAGTTGATAGT